CCACCCTTTTTCTATAGGGTTATGGTCAGGAGAGCTGGTTGGCCAATCCATGCGGCGAATATCTTAGATCAGGTAATCATCAACCGGCTGCGCCTATTGTTAACGAGCGTTGTCGTCCATTAACAGGAACACAGGACCAACTGCGCGCCTGAAAAGTCGAACGTAGGGCTAGAAGTCAAGGATCCTTTGTCAAACATGCTGGGATGTACAGCCTTCCAACGTAATGCCTGTAAAGATCGTGAATTATAAATAAAGAAAACAGAGTTATGCTTTGCCGGAATGGCAGCATTAGAAGAAGTTCAACCGATCTGATGTAAAAATCTGTACGAGTAGTTTTTTTTAAGCTGGAGGAGTCATATGGTTGTGCTTTCAAAAGACTAAATAAAATTTAATATTATCAAATATGGCTTTTTATTGACGAGAATAAAATATTTCACGTTATTAAAATAAAGTGCGAACAGATCAGTATGAATTTCCTCCCCGGTAGAACGGTGTACCTTTACACCCGAGTGCCTGGGCTGATGTCCTATTCCGTGTAGAACAATTATATTCTTGCGAATAATGTCAAAAAATAACTAAACGAAAGTCTCGAACTTAGATAAGTTAAAATTAAAGATTAAGTTAAAAAGATTAAGTAAGATTTAGGTAGACAAAAATAATTAATTTAAAGAAAAACAAAGGCAGGCAAATTTTCTAATAACTGCAGGTCGGGAAAGCCGTCGAACTGGTGAACAAGAAGTAATGATTACTGAAAATTAAAGTTAATAAAAACATGAAATTACTCACTAGTAGCACATCCCATGAGCTTCTGCACGGTTTGGAGTACGGATCGTAACTGCTCTGCAATGTTTGCGTTATGTAAGAAACTAAAGAGCTCCAGAATAATTTTGGCAAATTCTTGTATGTTCGGATTATAGAACCACGATAAATGTCCTGTAAGGATTATGTTAATTTTATTAACAGTTAAATTTTAAGTTAAAGTTCCTTTCCTGTCAAATTCTTAACTTCAACTTACTACTTCCGGCCAGAACGTAGTTTTGGAATTTGCTGAATATTTAATGAGAAGGAGGGGTATTTAAACCACGAAGTTACTTACTGAGACAGAGAGAGAATCAGAGTTTCTGAACTACGCGTGTCTGCCTTTTTGGCCGCTCTCTCTCTCAAAGCTGTTTTACGCTCGTCCGTACTCAGGCCCTTGCTAAGCTTCGTAGTCCTTGCTAAGCTTCGTAGTAAAATAAGTTAAGGGGCCAACTCTCATTGAACCTTGATAGCTTTGGCTATACTTAGTTAGTTAATCTTAGTTTTAGTTTAATTCTTAGTCTTTTAAGTTCAAGTCCAAAGTGCGGACTTTATTTGTTCACTCCCAGGCGGAGTTTTGTTAAATCTTATAGAAATAATAAAGGGTTATTTACCCTTCTCTCTTGTTGTTTCCTGTCTTCGAACTCTAGCGATTATTCGCTTATCAGTTCCTAGGTTCCTCACTTCCAACATTAACTTAGAATTTCAAGTAAGGGACCTTACAGTCCTTCTATGATGTTAGGCACTGGAGTTGATTTGTTTTTGACTTTATCATTATAACGGGGGCATATGGGTTGGACGACTGTCAGCCCTAGGTAGTTCTGGAAAGTTCGCGTCAATACTTCGAGAGCAGGTTTCGGTTGAGGTCTCGGTTGATTTTTCTTTCCAAATCTTGCCTTGTAGGCCTCACACCTACGACAGCTGCTCGGGTGTTCTCTACTGCAGAAGATACAGCGAGGTTTTTTGCCACACATGTTTCTTCGATGGGATCCTCCACATTTCACACACCGCTCGGGGTTGTTACACAAATGCTGAGTGTGACCGTAGGCCTGGCAACGAAAACATTGCACAAGCCTTTTCTTGGTTTGTATTCTTCAACTCGCACGTCGAAACTGAACAAGTTGTTCAGTTGAAAGATCTGACTTCCTGCGGGATTACGTTTCAGCACAGCAAAAAATATCGGAAGCTTCATCTGGATACCATTCTTGTTTCTCGCAAACTGTTTGACTTTAACTGCCGGGAATTTCTGTCTGGTCAGGTCATTAAGAATAGCTTCTTCTTGGATAGAAACAGGAAGATCTTTGATAACCACCCTGATGTTTCTCTCACTCTGCGGCTGAAATGTGTGAAAAGCGATACCACGGACACTTAACAGTTTCTTCATATTTTTAAAGTCTTCAGAGTTCTTTACGTACACATGAATAGATTTCATCTTAGCACTAGATTCGTGCGTTTCAGAACAGTTCTGTGTAAACACTGTATCTACTTCTAACCAATCCGGTGTGTCGCTTGGGAATACAGTGGACCGGGGCGTGTCGACTGCTGGCGCTCCTTCTTCATCACTTGCACTATTCAACATCTGAAAGCGGTTCGCTCGGGTCATGTCCATCGGCTCGGCAGGTACTGGGATCTTCGCTGGGCACTTTGGTGATTTCCATTCCGTATCCGTCTCAGATTTACCATCATTAATTTTATTCCCTCTGGGATTTTTCGTAACATTTAGCATCTCCGTCTGGAGCGTCTGCTTGTTGCTTGCACGAGGCTCGATTTTCTGAGCTCTTCTGTTCTCCTGCAGTGTCCTTGCGGCTTCCATCATATTATCAGCACCATGCTCCTTTATCAGTTCAACAATTTCCTTCCCCGTAACGTCAGGAAACATAATCTTGAGCACGAGATCTTAAGAAAGTTTCTGACGGGAATCATCCTTTCTGAGCTGCGGCGGTAACGATTTTGTAGATTGAAATGATTATACAGAATCAATCTCACTAAGCTCATCATCCGAGAAATCGTTGGAGGACATTTTGAAGTACCCGCAGGTACCTTAACAATCAGAAATACTCAGGACAGCAAAAAGTATCCGGATACACTCAAAGAACAACCGTGACCAGTCACTCAATCAATGAATCCCTGTTTGTGTGAGTTCAGATATCCACGTTGGTTATCCGACTTTTCAGATATCTACGTCGGATTATCCGACTTTAATGACGTAAGTCTTTGTTGTGGTGATCAGTGGGAGCTCCCATATTCTGTTTGGGTTTGTCGTCTGTGTATGAATTTCATCTCAGTATGGAATTTTAGGAAGGAGAAAGTTTTACTATGCCTGTCCAATCCATTTACCTCCACCACCATAATGATCCTTTTGCTGCTCCGCAGACACTTATGTATACATCAAATACATAAGCGTATATAAGTACGCTTATGTATTAGACTCTGAATATTTATATAGCTCTTTGGCAGCATAATTAATACCCTTGGTTCAATACTTTTTGTAAAAATAGACATAACTTTTCAAATTCTGTTAATCTTGCACAGAGTATATATGTTTCGAATCGCAATTTTACAGTTTAAAAGTATAGTATTGTATTTAGTTGATCTGCTTGTTTAAATCACAGCTCCAAAATTACAGCCACACGAAGAAAGAATAACATATTCCATGAGTTCTAAAAACAAATTAAAGAAGAAAAGCGTTTCCAAGAAGCAAGAAGTTCCGTAGAATTCCACTTTGGTACTTGTAAGGCGGTAATAGTGTACTGGATATTATCCAAATGACACATCTTATACCGAAAAGTTATTTTTTTCCTTCTTCCTCCTCCCCTTTGTTTTCTTTGGGAAGTTCCATGAAGTGCCTTCTGGTCCTACATTCTCTGCAACTGATGTTTTCAATGAAGATGAGTTTGTGCCCTTTACTTCATTACTTCAGAAGAAATATTTGGCCGAAAGCTTCGTCTTTTCCTTTTTGAAGCTGTGATATACCTGCAATACGTCACGATGGACAGTGAAATAGGAAGTAGTTTTGTCATTTACAAAATCAGAGTAGCTCCGCTGAAGAAGCTGTCCCTTCCAAGATTAGAGCTGATGGGGGCGCTCATCGGAGCAAGATTAGCCTCATATGTGAAAGAACAGTTAGAGAAAAGGCTCCAGATGAATGTATATTTTTGGTCAGACTCTTCTATGACGTTTCTTTTGGATAAAGGGCGATTTAAATAAATGGAAACCATTCATCCAACATCAAGTAATGAAAATACGAGAAAAAACATCACCTGAGTCCTGGAATTATTGCCCTGGAGATGAAAATCCGGCTGATATGCTGACCAGAGGAACGAAGACAAATTCCACGAAAGGAATAACTTTGTCTGAACTACGAAATAGTGACATGTGGTGGCATGGATCTAAGTGGCTATTACAGAGCATCGATTCGTGGCCCAAACTTGCAGAATCAGTAAGAGATTTCAAAGATAATGAAGAGCTTGAACTTCGAAGGGGAGCTATAGTGAACTCAACAGTCACAGGTGAAAATTCCATTGAGAACGAATTCATTAAAAGGTATTCATTTAGCAAATTGATTAGAACTACTGCATGGTGTTTAAGGTTTGCTAACAACTGTAGAACCAATCCACCATTAAGAAAAGAAAGTTTCTAGTCAAACCGGAACATCTTAATGCTATTTTCATACTAAGGAATAAATTCCTTAGTATGAAAATAGCATTAAGATGTTCCGGTTTGACTAGAAACTTTAAATTCGTGATTCGACTTCTTTCATCATGCTAGAAATTATTATCACGTTAGAAATATGCAACCGTATTTATTATTTTTTCAGACAGTATTAATTTTTGTTGAGTAGTAATGGACATTTTGCGATATAAGCGGGAAAAATCACTTAATACCGGTTACGTCCGTCGTGAGGGGAAGGAAAAATATATCTGGGGACATATTTGAATTCGAGTAAAATTCTTTAATAAGCACCATTTGTTTGGGAGTTCTTGATATGAACATGTAATTAATACTTATTTAACACTGTGTCTAGGTTTCTGTTTACGGTAGTGGGTCATGGAACATTTAATTTTGTTTTTCTACTTGTGTGTGATGTTTTTGCATTTAGATAATTTTATTAATTATATGTTTAGTGTTTACTTGCAAGAGGGGAATTTTTATGATATATTTTCATTTCAAGGCCATAACTGGTAATTTTTTGATGCTTTCAGAGTCCTTGTGAACCTGAGTTTGCCAGTAGAGTGTCTTTTACCCAGAGAAGATATTCTAACACCAAGAATCCGGAATGTACAAAAGCAACTTGTGTTATCTTCTTTGGCAATAAAGAAATCATTTCTAGATGCTGCTGCGACTTTATCTCTTGTCAGTATGTTAAGGGAATCCATGATTAAATCAGTAAGTTTTACTCTTTTACGTTTGCTTCCCAAACGAAATAATCATTTGAGATTATACGATGTATAATCTCGTAGTTATGATTTTTGTAAGGACCAAAATTTTAATTTTCAGTATACTTGCAATAAAGACCGTCTTTATGTTGGAAATAAAAGTCCAAATAATAGATGAATATATGTATGATTTTCGTTACACTATCATAGCCGAACATGAAATTACTAAAATTTTAAGAACAGTGATACTCTTCAAGAGAATATGAAAACTGTTTGTAAAACATTAATAATGAACAGTAATTTTCTGGTAAATAGACTTTTATTCTGTGTCTCTATATTTGAAGACTTAATTTCGGAATTGATTGGATTGGATTATTTATAAAGGGAGGGATGCCTTCGTGGAGGACTTTTTAAGGGAAACTGGCTCGTATACACGTTACACATAATTTCGGAACTGAAAATCGCTGGAACCCAATATAAAGAACGCCACCAGGAACCGCCAAAATTTAAATAAAAATTTATTAAACAGTGAACCGTTAATGTTGAATAAATCATTAAGTATATATTAATAAATAATGTAATAAAATAAATTAAATTCATTGAAACATCCAAGATGTCTCTCCATTATTCCGTAGTTTACTCGTACATTGCCCAATCGCCTTAGGTAGCATACATTATTCACGTTTGTGTCCTATGGAATATTTGTTACTTATTAGTTGTCCTCTGTCGAAGGTAGCTGCTATGAGAGATTTCACTATTTATCATAAAATTTGAATGAAATAATATACCAAATGACTGTGTAGATTAATGATAGTAAAACACAGTGCAAAGGAATAAAATAAGTGTCCTCTTCTCCGTTATACGATAAGATAATGTTAAGAATTTTCTAAACGTAAAAAATATGTTATTTAATTAGTTTTTCAAAAACCAGAAAGGTAATAAGTATGACACACTTTAAAAATTAATTCTGTGTTTTACTTTTAAGTCAAGAACGCTATTGTAAGATGGCAACACTTTTAATTTAAAGGGGGCTAATGGGCAGCAGTATCGGCTGGAATGCCTGTTTTCTTCATTCCATTATTTCCATATGAACTCACATAAATAAGAATAAAATATAGAGTCAGAAGTATCCTGGCGCATATATTTTTCTATGGAAAATTATTTGATCAGTAACGGAAAAAATCCAAGAATTGACCTGGATAATTAAATTTAGACTAAATACAGGAGATATTAAAAGAGAAATATTTTGTATAGTTTTTCATTTTATTTAAGATAATAATGTTTGTTTTTAATACAAATATTTCGTGAAAAATCTAGCCATAAATGGAAAAAAACTTATCAGGAAGAATTTAGTATTGAAATAAAAACCATTCCAAATCTCAATCCCTGAAATTTGATTTTTGGGCCTTCCCTAAGTTTACATTCTGTGAAACTTACTGTGGGCATTGTATCTTCCTCCATGCTTCTGTTCTTTAATAACATATCACGAGATAACTATCAACAGTATATCAGTAACAGTATGAACAAACTTATTCAATTCCATCGGGCACCTGGGCCTGGCCTTATCCCAGAGTAACAGCAAAAGCATTTTCCGAATATTAGTATAGCATTTCTAAGGACGAGAGGCAATAATGTTGAACAAAAACAATAAAAAGTTCAGAATGGTTATATTGGCATTATTGAATCAGAAATTATATGGTGCTCAAACGTAACATATGGGTGAAATGGTAGCAAGTTAATTTATTTGTAAGAATTTTAAAGTCCCAAAACTGCATTTCTATCATGAAGGTGGTCGGAGCATAGAGCTGTGTTAGCGTCGTCTATGAATACACGTAACTGCACTGTAATGATGTTGAAATCATCTGTAAGCCAGAGCTAGGAGGAGTAATTGGTCGGATTATAGGGTGAACTTATATTAGTGTGCTAGTATGGGAAAGGAGAAGGCTGTTTTCAATCCATACAAAATTTGCAGGGATACCAGATGTAAATGGGGAAGGGGAATTTTAGAAGAGTTGAAATTAAAACTTAGAAGTACAATACGTACAAAATGAATAGAAAAATAAATTGTCATCATAACTCACATTAATTTATTTATATCAGAGCTCTATAATTCTTCAGAAATAAGAAATAATATGTACAGTTTTTCAGCTTGCGTGTTCGCATTTTAGAGTTGTTCAAGGTTCTTATGTATTAGGTAGGTTAATTTAAAAATTTGTCCAAAGTCGAATATTTTTTCTATTTCTTTTAACGCTTTTAAACAGCTACATAAAACCAGAAGTAGCATTGGCGTAGGAGTATTTGCCATTCATTTTAGATTGATTAGCATGTGAATTAATTAATTTTCCTGAAGTTCTGCTTAGCACGGGGGTTGTTTAGTGGTTGAGGGACATTATTCTCTGCAATTCCTTTATGCAGCAAGAACTGCAGAGTACGATTTTTTTTTTTAGGTTTGAACATTATTAGTTTTATTTCTGGGGAACTTTTCACACACTCTATATGAAGGCGGGTGAGAATTTTTGAAGTTGGCATATAGGGGATTTTCAATACATCCTATATGCGGGCAAGGAATAGTTTTGTGTTCTGGCGCATTTCAGGCAATGGGAGGCCAGGAAAAGAATTATCCGATGAGTAGTGTCATCTTTGGCAATTATGGCATTAAGGTATGAGGATTTTATTAACATGTTTTTCCACTTGAAAACTAAATAGGAATAAATGCGTTATTTCTTGTCTTTTTTCAACATTACGCGATAGGTATATTTGGTACAAGGGCATAGGTTGTCCGATTCGGCTCCTAGTCATTCGAACTACTTTATGTATATTAAAGCCTTGGTCTGTAAGAATATCAAGAGATCGCCTTCTCATCTATATCTCTTGGCAATTCTCTTATTACAACTTTGATGGGGCGTTGATTCCTAGCGTTTACTAATAATGTTCTATTGCATCATAACGTAGAAGTGTGGTAAGGATGCGATGATCATCTGGCGGGTTAAGGAGATTTTGTTTTAATTCCCCTCCCCCAACTTCACACAAAAATTTTGCTGTGGTTTGCATAGAGAGTTTTTTAAGATAGTAATTAAATTGTACATTTTCCTCGGGTTTAACCATTAAGACTGGGACATTGTCTGATGCTGTACAAGAAGAACCTGGTTCATTCACAATATTAACCGAAGTTTGTGTACCATTAGCAGAGAAGTACAAAGGACTGAATCTATTTTTCACAATAATATAACTAGAAATATCCTTAACAATCGTTAAGTAATTTTTGCCGTTCTAGTTGGTCTAACAAAATCATTATCATAAACAGCATTATCGTCAGAATTTACCCATTCTAGTCGGCTGAACAAGATAAATATCACTATCAATATAATTATCGGAATTATTAGAATTTACATTTCTCTTAATAATTTTTAATGTTCCAGTTGGTTTAACAAGATCAGTATCACAAACAACATTATCATCAGAACTGTCAGAGTTTACATTTTGCTTACGCTTAGCACTCAGGTTACTAGAATATTGAACAGAAATAAGTTTGCACTTACCTCTTAGAAATTCTAATTGTTTCATTTGGTCCCGTATTACTTTGGCTATCAGTGGAATACATTAATCCGTGTCCTAATCCGCACGTGTGGCATCCGTTCATCTAGGCCTTGAGTTCACCAGTACTATAAATTTTCTTTTCCAAGTCTTCTATTTCTTTCATGAGTTGATGAACTGTATTTTCCATCAAAGTCCATAATCCACAGTAGCAGTACCCATGTAATCATAATTATTCACAGGCACACTCTAGTCTACAATATCACGTGATATAGCGTCGCCAACCGTCGTTTGCCTCGCTCATAACAGGAATTAACGAAAGAGAAACCTTTGCAATCTACGACAGAATGCAGAATGCTTTTGTTCCAATCGAGACTTTTTTCCGTATAACACAAACCAACCAAGGCAGCAAAGTTTTCGATATTTTTCCGACTGGTCGTCGGTTGGACACGAATAGCCTCTATGCTATGCTGACCATCGCGATTTTCCTGGATTTTCAGGAACCGCTGAAGATTTTCAGACAGGGCCGACCCTAGCGGAGGGCAAGATGGTGCACAGCACGTGGGCGGCCAAATTTAAGGGCGGTGAAATGATCATCAAACATATATTACTGTAAAAAAAGGGTGGCTAATTTTAATTTGCATCTATAGTCGGCTTACGGCCTTGGAACGGCACTGCGGACACTAGCCATTTTAGGCTTTCGCCACTACTAGGGCCGGGGAGTGGCGGTCGTTTTGGAAGAACCTAACAGGCGGCCACCGTTGCCTCCTATGAAGGGATGGATAGTTTATACCCATGCGTCTCCAGGATTCGAACCCGAGTCCTTCGGTGTTGCAGTCAGAGTCACTAACCACTTTCCCGTCTGGGCGGCCCGCTGAAAAAGTTTTTCATCTGGCCAAAATGTCATTGCTCTAAATTTACTGCTGTAATTTATAGCAAACTGCTGAATGATATCTGTCGACATGATTGCATGGAGTGTTTTTATTACTGCAAGTTTTTATGAAAATGCTGTGTCACTTTGAAAATATCTAATAATAGGAAGAAAACTTCATTTTGCGCCATACAGAGGAAAAACCTACGAATACGATGCGCGCAATAATAAGCTCTCACAGCAGAATGAAATGATGTTCTTTCGTGCCTTACCTAAGCTATAAATTCAGTTAAGTATTGTTTCCATTCTCACAGTCCTTATTCGTTCCATCGTTCGAACAAGCGGATTCGCAGACGAACGAGACCGGTCACACTATTGCTGTGGATATGTCACTGTTGCTGCGGATCCGTGTCACTATTGCTATGTCGTAATAAGACATTACGATAGTTCAGAGATTATTTGCATTTACTGCCACCAGATGTCCCTGTATTTATTCACGGGATTCAGATAACATAATGGGATATTCTTGAGATATTTAAATTTTTCAGTTTTTAATGCATATTTTGAATCGCTGTGATGGCTTAGAAGCTTACTTATTTCAAAAA